AAAAAAAAAAAGAAATAAGCCACTACGATACAAACTTCTGCCTCTGATGTAACAGGTTTGGAAAAATACCAATGAGAAGCAGGCCTCCCACCCTATGTTAAGAGAAGCACCAGGAAATTTAACTCTGGTCACAGGAGGATTGTGCCCGTGTGTCTTGAGGGTTTAAAAGAGATGAGAGAACCGACTTACCTCCTTGGCTCGCTCCTGTACAAACACCAAAGTGAGAATGCCTGATAGCTATCCAGTCCTAGTCTAAGAGGATAACTAATAACTCACTCCTCCTCAACTTCATGCATCCTGAAGAAGTCTTTAAGTGGAAGTTTCTTCTCCTGGTACCAAAGATAGGAGATTGCAAGGGGAGGGGAGGAGTTGGTGTCACTAAATGGTACACTAGTAAATGTTTCACACCAGGTCTCTGAGTGGGGATATATATATAATATGTAAAATAATAATCATACATGCATACACATGTTATTATTACATATATATATACGATATGTATAGTGTTATATGCATTATAACTACAATTTAATATACATTATAATTAGTCATATATTATAATCATATCATTATAATTATGTAATATATATGTATGTATATATCTATATGTACATATATGCATACATATAAGTATGTATGTTTTCTCTACAGTTTTACTGATGTAAAGTGCATATAGCACCCAATTTACAACTAACAATAAAATACACAGTGCTCTTGTACGTTTCATATAGCCAATTGATTCTCACAGAAATCTTTCACTGGTTTTTGTCAAACTCTTGTATTCCTAGCCAACCAACGCAACTGACAAGTACAGTTCCGGCCAGAATGTTGGCTGATTTTTCCACTTACATTAACGAGTAAGATGAAAGTGAATTAACCTAGTTGTATGTTGGAACTTTACACGTTCATCAGTGACTTCGGCAACTTCTTTGATAAATCAGATAATAGCTTTCAAATACTGAAAGCTACTGAGACTCCTCAGATTTTCTGTGTGCCTACAATATGACAGCAACAGCCACTTTACATCAACATTTTTTCTATCCCTTTATTTTTTTTTATGTGTATTTTTGAGAGAGAGAGAGACAGAAGACAGAGTGTGAGCAGGGGAGGGGCAGAGAGACAGGGAGACACAGGATCCGAAGCAGGCTCCAGGCTCTGAGCTGTCAGCGCACAGCCCGACGAGGGGCTTGAACTCGCGAGCCGTGAGATCATGACCTGAGCCAAAGTCAGACGCTTAACCAACTGAGGTATCCAGGCACCCCTTTATCCCTTTAGGCAGCCAACAAAACGATAAATTGAGGCTTAATTGATTTCCATGGTGTAAATAACTCCCAACATGGCTGGTTTCAAGATAGTGACCAACATGAAGTGACCAACACACCCCGAGAAGATAGGACGAGGTAGTGCAGCATCACACAGTGTTTCTACCCTGTAGATACAATCGATGTAAATAACCTCAAGGGTATAGAGAGTAGTAAAATATAGTAAAACAATTAAGAAGTGGTGAGTTTGGGTCATTACCTTTGCTTTTGTATAATTTGTTGAAGTGTAAGTTTCCGTAGTTAAATTTTTACTATTGGCTATGTTTAACAATGGCTCGTAAAATGCCTGAAAATCCGAATCGTTTTCACGGGTCTCTTTTGTGCTGGCTCCAGCACCGCCACTGTGCTGCACTTCCTCATCTGCCCACTGTTCCCAAAGAAATAAGCCTCTTTGCCTTGTTAACAGCCCGGTGTTTCCAAAAAGTTCTCATTTTCTCCCATGAAACGAGGTAGGGAAGATTGGCGTGAATTACTCGTCTTCGTCCCGAGCTCCTCTGGCCCGGGGAGAGCCTGACTTCAGGGAATTCACACAGATAAAGTTTTTGTGAGGGGCTTCGCCATCTGGGGGGAGGATTGAAGGCTGTGGGTTTCTGGAGAAACTGCCTTGCTGTTCCGGCCAGCTCACCACTCTCTTGCCATAACCGTAGTGCATTTTCCTCATGTATGCAGAGAAACCGAGTGAAAAATGGAATAGACTACTATTACTGCTAGTTTGTAGTGCGTAGGAAAGGGGAGAAAAAAGCTCTGCTTATCCCCAATCCTCCCTTGCGTCTTCTTTTTTTCCTTTCCTGTTGTTACCCATCACATTCCTTGATGTCATGCCTGCCATTGTGAGCCGACAGGCCCTCCCTGGCCTGGTGGACAGCTTGTAAGTCAGGAGGGGAGGGGGAGCTGTGGAGGTTGGGGGGAGCAGTGGTCACACCAACACCTTGGAATTGGGCTGGGTCTGAGTGGAGCCCCAGAGATGTTCTCCAGCCCATTCTTCCCAAGAACCGATGAGTAAAATTAGGGGCCTCCCACCTGAGGTCAGGGAACCAGGCCCTGGAGTGGATCTGGGGGTGGAAGACGGCCTTCTTTGTCAACTGATTCATTCTCCAGAATTCAACTTGTTCTCCGACTCGGTGGTATTTGAAAGCAACTTTATCCAGGTACCTGTGTGCAGCTCAGAACCCACTTTCTTTCGCTTTCCAGAACTTGTTCCTAAGGGTTGGTCCAAAAGTGCTGGTCCAAAAAGGCCTCTGAAAGCCCTGGGGAGGAGAAGGAGGCTGCTATGGCTAGGGACAACCAGAGGGTCTGGATCCCAAGTTCAGCTCAGTTTGTGCCTACAGCATGATGGGGCTCCTTGAAGGTCATATGCTTTCAGGAAATAGAATTACAAACTGCAAAAGGGGACCTTAGGGCTCACCCTCCAGGCAGGGTCCATGGGCCACTAGGGAAGGAATGGTTGGTTAGAGGGAATGAAGGTTGTTTTTAGAATCCCTGCTCTGAAATCCAACCTCCTCTCCATGGGATGGTTTAGAAATAGCCTTGTTTGAGAGCCAAGCCCCTAGAATCGGCCTTGCCCAGATTCTACATCCCCTAAAAGGGGGTGCTATGGCCATTGGAAGTTAGCATTTTTGGCCTGGGAAGCATGAGGCCACTGGGAGTATGGGGTAGTCATATGACATCTTGGGGCACCTGACTGGCTCAGTGGGTAGAGCATATGACTCTTTGTCTTGGGGTCATGAGTTCAAGCCTCATGTTGGGGGTAGAGTTTACCTTAAAAAAAAGAAAGTGCGTGTGACATCTTACTGAGGGCCTGCCCACCTACCTCCCTCTAGAAGTCTAGCTGGGATCTGCATACCTGTGCTCCTTTGCAAGTGCCGCATGACCAGCTTCTCACGGTCTGTGTGCTGTGTGCTGTGTGCGGGGCAGGAGATGCAAAGAGAGATCAGATGGTATCCCTGGCCAAGGAGCTCATGAATTTGTCAATTTAAAGGGCATGTTATAACATGGTCACTGCTAAGAAAGCTCTGGCAGGTGGTTTGGACAAGCTCATCCCTAAAGCATGAGCAGAGAGAAGGGTGCTAGTGTCCAGGGAGTTCAGCGCACTTTTTGGAGTTTGGCAGTTGAAGAAGGCTGCCCAGAGGAGGAGGTGAAGCCCTTCTTGGAGGTATCCCTAAGACTTTGGTAAGTGGAGGAGCAGAGGGAGGACACTGCAGGCCAAGGGACTTCAGTTACCTGGGTGAAAGTGGGAGGCTAGAACCCATAGGGAGGGTCTGTGCTCAGGAACCCATGTGATGGGGTCACAAAGCAGTGAGGAGTCACAGGAGAGAGTGGAGACAATTTGAGCTCAATTAGAAGACGCGTTCACAGAGCAGCAAGCTACTCCCTGATGGAGCCCCCCAGATTTCAAAGAGCTGGTTCGCCGCTCCGAGTGCTCCCCGGTTCCTGCACTGCTCCCAGGGGGCTGCAGAGTGGGGCAATCAGCTGGCAGCCCGCGGGCGTGCTCCTTCCTAACACAGTCTCAGCGGAGGAAGAGCAGGGACGTGGCAGATCCAGACTCGGGATAGCGAATTCCAGTCATTTCTATCTGGGTGTGAGGTTTTGGCAGGAGGTTTATTCTCTTACTCTGTTCTCTTTGACCTGCTATTAAAACTGTGTAGATTCTCTGGGTGGACACTTAGTGATTCATGCAGCAGGAAACTCGGACTGTTCCGGGGAGGGCAAAGCCTGTCTGCTGGAGCTGCCCCATGGCAGAGTGAAAAGTTGACCTGAAAGGAATCACCCCACACAATTAGGGGGTTCCCTTTCTCCCCCCTCCTCAGTATCACCTCTCTGCCATCACCTGGAAGAAACATCACTCACAAACCTTTACTTAGCACTTACTCTCAATGTGTGCCGCCCCTGTGTTTCGTAGTGCATGTGAATGTCATTCCGCACTGTGGGCTCCAAGAAATGTTTGTTTTTGTTTTTTCCTTCAAAACGAAAATGGACTTTTCTTAGGAGCGCCATCTAGTCGGGCGTATGGGAACTGAAATTTCAGTTATTCCTGGGGCTTTCCCCTTGTCCCCGGCTCCACCATGGTTGTGAAATGGTGTCAATGGTCCTACAAAGTCTAGAACGTTGGGAGAAGGCTCTCTGGTCGGTCACTCCTCAAATGTTCCTTACCTTACCTTGGTCCTTGTGGTTCCTTGGAGGCTTCTCTGCCCGCCCTGGACAGTGAGGCGGGTGTGTCTTAGCTGAAATACTGTGCCCAGTGCAAAGCATCCAGTCTCCCTGGGCTGCCTCTGATGCTGCAAGAGAACAGGTTCTCACGAGATCTAGCAACAGCCGGGCCCTCCCTCATCTTGTGGGAAGCTCCCCAGTCGTCCCTCAAGCTGGGCTGCCTGGGTCTGCCCCATTCACTAGCTCTTTCCTCACTCTCCTCCCCTTCTGGAACCTTCTTTACACAATCTCCCTTCCAGATCATTGGAAACCTGTGCTGGCTGCTTCTACCCGAGGATGGGGGAATAAAATGTCAATGCCTCTCAGCTTTTTCTTACTAATGCATCCCTTTAACGTTGGATAATGCAGAGGATGCAAAGGAGGGCAACACAGTTTCCTGTCGCCAATGAGCTGGTGTATTTGGAGAGACCCACAAAAAGGATGGATGCTGGTCATTGCCCAGGCCAGTGCGCCGCACACTTGCTCCGAGCATGTCCCCAAGTTAAAGTGCTGCTTTCCAGCACCTGTATTCTCCCACCCTTGCCTTCCTCTTTCTCCCTGACCCATGTACCTGGGCTGATTTCCAGGTCACTAAGCCCGGGAGCTGGATGGATGTCTATGAAGGTTCTACCACTGTGATCCTCGGGGTGACCTCCTCAGTGCCCTCCTTGCCACTCCCCAACATCCTCCTAATGGCCAACGTCACCTGGCCCCAGGGTCAGTTTTCCACCTGGAGCTCACCTGATTGTGCTCCAGTGGTCACCCTCAGCAGGTAAAGAAAGGCCGCAGAAGGGGTGGGATGACCGCATTGTTTTGCAGCTGGATTTTAGATAAAAAGAAAGGACAGTATATAAGCTATGTGTATACACGATGTATAGTGTATAAACTGTAGAATTCATTCATTAAAAAACATGTCTTTCGTATCTGGATATACCAGACACTGTGCTTGTTGAAGTTATAGAGCCCTGGTCTCTGTCTCAGCCTAGTCTTTGAGGATCTTGGCTTCCTTTTATTTACTTTTATATTGTCACTATAGACTTAGGGGGTTTCCCCCGCAAAAAGGCGAGGGGTATGAAAGTCAGATGGGATTATGGAGTGTTACAATTGAAAAAAAAAAAAACAAATACTGGATGTACAGGACACATCCACCCTTCTTACTGTCTCAGCAAGGTTAACTAGGATACAGGGAGGAGATCTGGATGGAAATAGGGTCAGAACACCTGAGTTCCAGTTCCTACTTAATGTGGTCTAAACTTGGGCACATCAGTTAGCTGTTCTGAGCCTCAGTTTCACCATCTGTACAATGGAATGAAAAATACCTTTCTTTCCTCAAAGGGTGTGAGGATTGAATGAGAGGTTAGACATCGTCTATCAGCCATTGTTATTGATGTGGGCAGGTTCTTTAGTGATGAAGGCCCTGAAAGTCAGAGAAGAGTTAGTTTTAGTAATCATTCCCACTCCCAGACCATGAGCTTTCTCCCATGGGCATCCCCCAAGCAGAGGCGGGAGCCTAGTGAGATGGGGCCAGGCTCTAGGTAGGCACGCATGATTGATTGAATGCATGGGCCCCTCTGCTGTGGGGATTTCCCGATTGTGTCCAGGATTCTCCCCCTGAAGTTTGTGGAGCTACAAATCTGTGACCGGCTCCAACGCATCCTGAGGGTTAGGACAGTGACTGAAAAGATCTACTACCTGAGGCTCCACGAACACCACCCAGAGGCCGTATTTCAATTCTGGATCCGCTTGGTGAAAATTCTGCAGAAAGGTCTGTCCATCACCACCAAAGACCCAAGAATCCAATTCACGCACTGCCTGGTGCCCAAAATGTCCAACAGCTCCACCGAAATAACAGTAAGTGGGGCCTCCCGCCAAGACCTGCAGCGAGATGGGGGATGGGAAGCCCAGCTCCTTAGAGGATTGGTGGGCATTAAAGTCTGGTGTTGCAGGGGCAGACTTCGTTTTCAAAGGGCCAAGGATACACACGCATCAAACTGGGGTCTACAAACATAAAAAGCAAATGAATTTCTTTTTCTTAAAAAAAAGAGCTATAAAGTGGTTATCTCACTTAAAAATTGTTTTCTGTTGGGTTTTTTGTTTTTAAGTTTTAAAAAAGGAATAATGCTCACTGAAGAAAATTAGAAAATCACAGAAAAATCACCCCTACTTCTCTCCAACCCCAAGCAATCACTTGGAACATTCTGGCATACTTCCTTCCAGTCTTCCATTTTATGTATTTTTTTTTCCTTTTTTTTGTTTGATCTCTATTAGGTTTTGGCATTAGAGTTATGCTGTCCTCTTAATATCAACTGAAGAATTTTGCATATGCTTTCACATTGTTGAATATATTGAAACTTTGAAAACATTTATTCTTTAACGTTAGAGGCTAGATTGAATTTGCCAGGTTCTTTTTTTTTTTTTTTTAATGTTTGCTTGTTTATATATTTATTCTTTCTCCAATTTTTTATTTAAATTCCAGTTAGTTAACATACAGTGTAGTATTAGTTTCAGGAGTAGAATTTAGTGATTCATCACTTACCTACAATACCCAGTGCTCATCACAAGTGCCCTCCTTAATGCCCATCACCCATTTAACCCTCCCCCTGCCCACCTCCCTCCATCAACCCTCTATTTGTTCTCTATAGTTAAGAGTCTGTTTCCTGGTTTGCCACCACCCCCTGATTTTTATTTGTTTTGTTTCTTAACAGTTTTCCATCTTTTTTTCCCCCTAGATCACTTTTTTAAAAAATTTACATCCAAGTTAGTTAGGATATAGTGCAACAATAATTTATCCATTTAGCGCATCCCCCCTCCCACATCCCCTCCAGTAACCCTCTGTTTGTTCTCCATATTTAAGAGTCTCTTATGTTTTGTCCCCCTCCCTGTTTTTATATTATTTTTGCTTCCCTTCCCTTATGTTCGTCTGTTTTGTATCTTAAAGTCCTCATATGAGTGAAGTCATATGATTTTTGTCTTTCTCTGACTGACTAGCTTCGCTTAGCATAATACCCTCTAGTTCCATCCACGTAGTTGCAAATGGCAAGATTTCATTCTTTTTGATTGCCGAGTAATACTCCATTGTATATATATACCACATCTTCTTTATCCATTCATCCATCAGTGGACATTTGGGCTGTTTCTGTACTTTGGCTACTGTTGATAGTGCTGCTATA